CCGGGCCCTACTTGTGAGAGCCGTTAATCCTAACCACCGGACCACAACGGACGACGTGCTCTGTTGCTGACAGCAGTAGAGCATATCACTGAGTCCAGATTGAGACTGATCAGAAGACCGAAGGAAAGACGTTCCATGTTTTAAAACAAAACTCATTCCGTTGCCGGAAATCGAACACGGGCCTTACGGGTGAGAGCCGTTAATCCTAACCACTAGACCACAACGGACGACGTGCTCTGTTGCTGACACTAGTAGAGCTTATCACTGAGCTCAGATTGAGACTGATCAGAAGACCGAACGAAAGCCGTTCCTTGTTTTAAAACAAAAGTCATTCCGTTGCCGGGAATCGAAACCGGTCCTTACGGGTGAGAGCCGTAAATCCTAACCACTAGACCACAACGGACGACGTGCTCTGTTGCTGACACTAGTAGAGCATATCACTGAGCTCAGATTGAGACTGATCAGAAGACCGAACGAAACCCGTTCCTTATTTCAAACAAAAGCCATTCCGTTGCCGGGAATCGAACACGGGCCCTACTTGTGAGAGCCGTTAATCCTAACCACTGGACCACAACGGACGACGTGCTCTGTTGCTGACAGCAGTAGAGCATATCACTGAGTCCAGATTGAGACTGATCAGAAGACCGAAGGAAAGACGTTCCATGTTTTAAAACAAAACTCATTCCGTTGCCGGAAATCGAACACGGGCCTTACGGGTGAGAGCCGTCAATCCTAACCACTAAACCACAACGGACGACGTGCTCTGTTGCTGACGGACGAAATGCTATGTTACTAACACTAGTAGGGAATATCACTGAGCTCAGATTGAGACTGATCAGAAGACTGAAGGCAAGACGTTCCTTTTTCCAAACAAAACTCATTCCGTTGCCGGGAGTCGAACCCGCGCCTTACGGGTGAGAGCCGTAATTCCTAACCACCAGACCACAGCGGACGACATTTTTTGGTGTTGACACCAGCAGAGCTTATCACTGAGCTCAGAACGAGACTGATCATAAGAACGAACGAAAGACGTTCCTTTTTCCAAACAAAACTCATTCCTTAGCCGGAAATCGAACACGGGCCTTACGGGTGAGAGCCGTCAATCCTAACCACTAAACCACAACGGACGACGTGCTCTGTTGCTGACACTAGTAGAGCTTATCACTGAGCTCAGAACGAGACTGATCAGAAGACCGAAGGAAGGACGTTCCTTGTTTTAAAACAAAACTCATTCCGTTGCCGGAAATCGAACACGGGCCTTACGGGTGAGAGCCGT